CGGGTTGGCCGTCGGGCTGGCCGAGGAGCTGGCCGTGGGATTGGGCGTCGGGCAAGGCCTCAGGTAGAGCGTTGGGTAGGGCGTCAGGTTGGGCGTCGGGAACGGTGCCGGGTGCGGCGTCAGACTGATCGTGGGGCTGGTCGTGGAGCTGGCCATGAGACTGGCCGTGGGGCTGGCTGTGCCGTCGGGCAGGCCGTTGTGCTGGCGGTCGGGTTGGCCGTCGGACTGGTCGCGGAGCTGGCAGTCGGGTTGGCCGCGGGGCAGGCCGAGGGGCTGGTCGTGGGGCTGGCAGTCGGGGAGACCAAAGGGCTGTCGGTCGGGCTGGCTGCAGGGCTGGCCGTGAAGCTGGTCGTGGGGTTGAAAGTCGGGCTGGCCGCGGGACTGGCCGTAGGCCTGGTCGTGTGGGAGGCCGTGGGGGTGGTCGTGGGGCTGGAAGCCGGGCTGGCCGTGGGACCGGCCGTGCGGCTGGCAGTCGGGCTGGCCGTGAGGCTGGTCGTCAGGCTGGCAGTCCGGTTGCCCGTAGGGCTGGCCGTGGGGCTGGCAGTCGGGCTTGCCCTGGGTCTGGCCGCAGGGCTGGCCGCGGGGCTGGCAGTCGGGCTGGCCCCGGGGCTGGCCGTCGGGCTGGCCGTCCGGCTGGCCGCGGGGCTGGCCGGGCTGGCCGTGGGACTGGCCGTGGGGCTGGCAGTGGGGCTGGCCGTCGGGCTGGCTGTGGGGCTGGCCACGGGGCTGGCCGTGGGGCTGCCCGCGGGACTGGCAGTCGGGCTGGCCACGGGGCGGGCCAACGGGCTGGCCGTCAAGCGGGCCGTGGGGCTGGCAGCAGGCCAGGCAGTGGGGCTGGCGGTCGAACTGGCCACGGGGCTGGTCGCCAGGCTGGCCGAGGGGCTGGCCGTTGGGCTGGCCGTCGGACTGGCCGTGGGGCTCGCAGTCGGGCTGGCCGTTGATCTGGCAGTCGGGCTGGCCGCTGGGCTGGCCGTGGGGCTGCCAGTCGTGTTGGCCGTGGGGCCGGCCGCGAGGCTGGCAGCCGGGCTGGCAGGCCGCGGGGCTGGCAGTCGAGCTGGCCGCGGGGCTAGCAACCGGGCCAGCCGTCGGGCTGGCCGCGGGGCTGGCAGTCGGCCTGGCCGTGGGGCTCCGTGGGGCTGGCAGCCGGGATGGCCGTGGGGCTGGCTGTGGGGCTGGCCGACGGGCTGGCCGTCAGGCTGGCCGCGGTGGCCCGCCGCGGCGGCCGCGGCGGCAGCCGCCACGCCAGCTGCGGCGGCGGCGGCAGGCGACAACGCCGCTGCGCGCGCCACCGCGGCGGCGGTCGCGGCGGGGCAGCCGCGGCCGGCCGCAGCGACGGCCTCGGCGGCGGCGGAGGCCGCGGCCGCCGCGGCGGCGCCAGCGGCAGCGGCAGCGGCGCCAGCAGCGCCGCGGCGGCGGCGCTGGCCAGCAGGCCGCCAGCGGCGCCAGCGGCCGGGGGCCGGGCCAGCCCCAGCGCAGGAGGCACTGGAGGCCCCAGGCGGCGCCAGCCGCAGCGCCAGCGGCGGCCGCGGCAGCCGCCGCGCTGGCGGGCAGACCAGGAGGCGCCGCGGCGGCGCTGGCGACACCGGCGGCCCGCGCGGCGCCAGCGGCGCCCGCGGCGCCCGCGGCGGCCGCAGCGCGGGGAGCGCCGGCGGCGCCGGCGCGGGCGGCGACCGCGACGCGAGCCGCCCAGGCGGCCGCCCGCTGCCGCCGGCGACGCGCCGCGGCGGGCTCCATCGGCGTCGGGCGAGCCCGCACCTGGCAGGGGGCGTGCTCGAGCCCTGACCCCAGAGGGAGGAACACCCCCGGGAAACGACTTGAGTCAGAGGCTTGAGCCAGAGGGGGCTACGGAGCTGGTGGGGGTTCGCGAAGCGTCAACATTCATTCGATTGTCTCACGACTTCAGCAAAACAGGCGGGCTGAACACCTACAAGACTTGAAATGGCAAACCTAAGGGTGTGTGACGTCCAGATGCTGACATCCTAGCAAAACTGATGTGTTTGGTATGATATCTACATGTGCGCGCGCGTGTAGACTTTGTATGGTTTGTAGCCATGGCTGATGGAAAAGAGATCGTTTACGATAAACGCATGTGCGCGTAAAGTATCATTTGACAGGGACGAGGGCGGGGACATACCCGGCTTGGCTCGGATGGTTTGAGATCCGATGGAAAATAAACGATGAGACAGTATCATGTGTAATGTACGGTGTCCCGGAGGGGGAGGACGTGGTAGTCTTTCATTTTGAAAGGCGACGACATGTCGAGTAGCATATGCGGCGTGAGCTGTGGACTTGAAAACTGTGTGGTGAAATCTATGTTGCGTAAACTAGGTGCGAACTGGAGATGCAATACTTGAGGTGTAAGCTATGAGCGATGTAAGCTATGCTGCGAAATATATGCGGTGAATACCACGTGGTGTAAACTATGTGGTGTAAGCTGTGTGGTGAAACAATGTCATGTGAGCTCAGAGCACCAGGCAGCAACGAGGCGGCACCAACCAGGCACCAACCGACACCCCGACACACCCACCCAACGCACAAGGCGGCATCGAGACGGCATCGAGGCAGCACCAATTAGGAACCAGCAGAAATCCCGACGCATCCACCCAGCTCATGCTGCGACAACGAGGCGGCCCCAACTGGACACCAGCCAAACCCCCGACACACCCACCAGGCTTACGAGGTGGTAGCGAGGTGGCAACGAGGCGGCGGCAATCTGGCACCAGCCGAAGCCCTGACACACCCATTCAGCTTCTTGGGTAATTGAAAACAAAACTCCCGAGTGCAAACGCTGCTTGGGGAATACGCGTGGCGTGCATATTGTTATTACTAGTCTGATTATAATTACTAGCATTATCATTATCATTATTATTAGTATTATTAGTATTATTAGTATTAGTATTATTATTATTAATATTATTATTACTATTATTAGTATGATTATTATTATTAGTATTATTATTATCATCATCATTATTGTTATTATTAATACTATTAGTATTATTATTATTATTATTATTATTATTATTATTATTATTATTATTATTATTATTATTATTACTATTATTGTTATTAGTACTACTATTGTTATTATTATTATTGTTATTATTATTAGTATTAGTGTTAGTGCGCTGCGCCTGTACGTAGGCGATCACAGTCCCCAAAATTGGAGAAATTTACCATGTGAAACCACCGAGCACTGGGCAGCTTCTTGCAACCAGGGGGGTTACAGACGAAGGAGGAATGGAGGAGTAGGGGGAGGAAGGACAGCAGAATACGAGCCGACGATCTGACGAGGACAGAAGGACAGGAGGAGGACGGGCGAAAGAGGCGCGACTATCAAGCACTGGGGCACCGGATCTGAGTTGGAGAGATTAGTGTATTGCAAGTAATGCGTTGCACGCGAAAATGCCGCAATACATTTGCGCCTGGGAATGTACTGCATGCCCCAAATGTATTGCAACCCCACAAATCTATTGCCCCAAATTTTCATGCACCACCCCCTTGTCGCTGGACCCCCTTTTCTGGGTCAACCCGAGGGATGCAACGCACGGCCAGAGAGAGAAAATCAGGAAAACGCAGCGCCTGGTCGAAGCCGTCGCTGCATGGACCGTCCGCGGGACAACGGCAACGGCGAAGACGACGAGAGTTTTGGACGATTCGGCACCCTGGGCGAAGGAAGACTTGGACGAAGGGTCCTTACCAGTGCAGAGCTCGTTGCCCTCAAGCGTCCGGACCCCGTCCTTCCAGCCCGACGCGGCACAAAGAAGTGTCGGGGACGTCTGCACATGCCGCCTGTCGGCAGGGCCCAGTCCCTCTGGCATGAGGCGGCCATGGTGTGGGGGCAGACAGATGCCCCCGTGGCGTGTGGCGGCCATGGTGTGGAGCCCAGTGCCTCTGGCGTGTGGCGGCCATGGTGTGAGGCCTGTGGCGGTGGACGGCGGAAGCTTCTCTGCTCGCAGATTCCACATGTTTTGATGTTCGCCCTGCCAGCTCGCGCGTGTGCCCTTCGCACCACGAGCCGAGCGACCAGAGATCGCGAGCCAGATCCCCAACACCAATCCAGAGGGGTGAAGGCCGATGCTGCGTTGTGCAACGCTGTGCCGCCTGGGGTGGTGGACTGCTAACGTGTCGCGCTCCGCCAGGAGCGGGGGAGGAGCAAAGGCAGTATCAGTGGCACGCCGCCTTGGGGAACCCATCAGCGTGCCGCTGTTGAAGAAGCACCGGACCTTCTGACAAAAAAAATGACGGCGCATCACGCTGTCGGGCTCCCAACGGCGGCGTGCCCTGAGGAGCAAGACCTCGTGGATCGCCACGGGCCTCACGAAGATGGGGAAACGAGGCACTCGACCTCGGCCTTGGGCCTGCAGTGGGGCTCTCATCGACGCGTCCCGTGCCCGCCCCGTCCGCGCGCACCGCTGCTGCCGCGCAGCTCGCGGTGCTCAGAGGACGCGCCTTCGGAAGGGCAGCGGCCTGCTGAACCTTTGCCGCTCGCTCGGCAGCTGGCTCACGCTTTCGATCGCGAGCACGGGCGCGCAAGCAGGCCCGCGCCGACCAGGCCGACGCACAGTCGCGCCTCGCCGGCCCAGCTGCGCCTGCGCGTGTGGCCACGGGCCCCTTGAGGTGCAGTGTGTTGTGTGAAGCGGTGTCTGCTTGCTTCCGATCGCCCGAGTGCGCTGGATCAGGGTGCCCGCCAGAGCAAGCTCCCCGTTGACGGGACGCACCTGATGCAAAACGGAAACAAAGGAAGAGGAGGAGGAGGAGGAGGAGGAGGAGGAGGAGGAGAAGGAGGAGGATGTGGAGGAAGAGGTGGGAGAGGCGGAGACGGGGGGGGAGGAGGGGGAGGAGGGGGTGAGGAGGGGGAGGAGGAGGAGGAGGAGGAGGACGAGGAGGAGGAGGAGGGGGCGGAAGCGGAGGAGGGAGAGGAAGAGGCGGAGGAGGAGAAGGTGGAGACGGGAAAGGGGGAGGAGGACGGCGACGACGAAGAGGAGGCCGCGGGCGTCCTTCTCCTGCCATCGGCGCCTGCGGCCTCCTTCTTCTACCTCCAGTGGCCAGGTCTCGTTATCGACTGTGCAGAGGGCGCCCCCGATGGAGATTCGCACGAACCCGGTAGAGTCGAAGTCCTCAGCCCTTGCTTCATGTTGCCACTGCTGCACCAAGGGCTGCGCATCGGCGCGGGCGCCTACTAGCGATTACATTTGAGACTGTCGCATGCAATATCGAGCTCGGGTGTCTCTTGGGCGTTACCCTCAGCCCCAAAAACATCGAGCACCGCAAATTGCTGATCCCTGCTCTGCCCCTCCAATTCTACCATCATCCTACATCCTGAATTTAAACCCCACTTCTGCCATCTCTGCTTGCTCTTCCTGCCAACTAAATATCGGTTCGCGTACAAACTCAACTCGTGGTTAACGCGCAAAATAATCGCGATGCCCGCCAGACCGTGCTGACCGAGGGCTTCATGTGCAAATACTGGCTTTGCTGCCAGACGTCTACAACGGCACTGACCTTGATCAGGCGGGGGAAAGATCCAGCAGGGGCTTGTCTGTACGCGTGTGCTCAACGCTCGATCGTAGCTGTATTCCCCCCCTCAACCCCCAGTCAATCAACGTTCACCCTTCAGGTCAAACCTAAATCACCTCCCCTGACTGTCCCCAATGCTGCCGAGATGATCATGAACCGCCACTTGCGGCATTTGCCCCAGTATCCCCACAAGCTCTCTCGACCCTGCCTGATGACAGGCCTTTTTGCGGCTCGCACTGCGCCGACCCAGAGCACACCCCACCCTTGCGCCACCCGATGCGGAGAAAGATTTGAGGCAGGACGCTAACATCCCTTGCGGGGAAGCACTCGGGGAACAAAAACCAACCGAAACCGACACTCCCCGGACCTCTTCCGGGGCGCGCTCCGACCAAAAATCCACTGAGAATCCACGAGACCGCTGCAGAACGAGCAGCGGCATCATCGGCAGATCTTCATTCTTGTCTGAAGAGTGGTGAGGCCGTTATGGGTGATCCCACCAGCCTCACGAGCTTGCCAGGACCCGGTCATCTCTGGGCCCAACCTGACCCCAAGGCGGTGCACACACTGAAGCCCTCTTCGCTCTCCTCTCGGCCCGTGCGGCTGCCTCTACAGTGGACGGATACGGTAAAAAATCTCAGCATCAGAGACCTCAGGGCACATCCGTCGTCGCCATATATCAGAGGGAGGGGGCCGAACGGTCATTCATTGTTCCTGGGTGCGTGGCTGAAGTGGGGATCCGTGGCGAGGGTTCTGCTTGTTGCGTTGTTGCGCAGTTGTTTGTTTGTTGTCGTCCCACCCGCTACCCACCCGCGACCCACCCAGCGACACAACCCGCGACCCACCCCGCGACCCACCCGCGACCCACCCCGCGACCCACCCGCGACCCACCCCGCGACCCACCCGCGACCCACCCCGCGACCCACCCCGCGACCCACCCGCGACCCACCCCGCGACCCACCCGCGACCCACCTCGCGACCCACCCCGGGACCCACCCCGCGACCCACCCCGCGACCCACCCGCGACCCACCCCGCGACCCACCCGCGACCCACCCCGCGACCCACCCGCGACCCACCTCGCGACCCACCCCGGGACCCACCCCGCGACCCACCCCGCGACCCACCCGCGACCCACCCCGCGACCCACCCGCGACCCACCCCGCGACCCAGCCGCGACCCACCCGCGACCTACCCACATTGGTTTAAAGAAAGAATCGGCGCCTGCGGCGGGCTCGTTGTACAATCTGTGAAACTTTGAAGCCTGCGGCGGGCTTCTGCAGAGTGTCGCAGACTGCCGACGGCAGATGGGGACGTGGGCAGTTTGGTAGCACCCCGCAGATGCGGGTACGAGTGAGGGGGCGGTGAGGACGTCGGCAGTTTGCGACACTATGGAGAAGCCCGCCACAGGCGCCAAAGTTTCACAAATCATACGACGAGCCCGCCGCAAGCGCCGACTTTTTTCTTTAAAACAATGTGGGTAGGTCGCGGGTGGGTCGCGGGGTGGGTCGCGAATGGGTCGCGGGTGGGTCGCGGGTGGGTCGCAAGTGGCCGCTGTTGGGTCGTGGGTGGGTCGCGGGTGGGTCGCGGGTGTAGAGGGCAGAAGATCCACACCATAATAATCGCCCCGACAAGCGAAGCCGTTTAGTAAACGCACACAAGGATTGAATCGAACAGGGCAGGGATGTCAAGTAAACGCCCAGGGCCTTTTAATAAACGTCAGTTGTCGGGTCTGGGTGGTTTTCCCTCTCTTGAGAGTGGGTCGCAGGGTGGGTCGCGGGGTGGGTCGCGGGGTGGGTCGCGTGTGGGTCGCGGATGGATCGCGGATGGGTCGCGGGATGGGTCGCGGGTGGGTCGCGGGGTGGGACGCGGGTGGGTCGCCAGTGGGTCGCGGGTGGGTCGCGGGGTGGGTCGGGGGTGGGTCGCGGGTTGGGTCGCAGGTTGGGTCGCGGGGTGGGTCGCGGGGTGGGTCGCGGGGTGGGTCGCGGGGTGGGTCGCGGGGTGGGTCGCGGGCGGGACGACGACGACAAACAACAACAACAACAACAACAACAACAACAACAACAACAACAACAACAACAACAACAGCAGCAGCAGCAGCAGCAGCAACAACAACAACAACAGCAGCAACAACAACAACAACCACAGCAAAAACAAACACACCTACGACAACAACAACGACAACAAAAACAACAAGAACAACAACAACAACAACAACAACAACAGCAACAACAGCAACAACACCAACAGCAACAACAACAACAACAACAACCCTATTCAGCCACGCACCCAGGAACAATGAATGACCGTTGGGCCCCCTCACTCTGTATATATATGTATGTATTACGAAAAAAAGTCCTACGGTGTCTGGGAACTTCTGCGGGTCCCCATGAACATTTTTTTGCGCCAGCTGGCGCAAGCGAGTCGAAGCTGGTGCAGGCGCCGGACGTGCTACGGGCAGGACGCGCCAGGAACGAATTGAGGTACAGAGCAGAGGAGGACGCGGGAAAAGAAAACAAGCAGGGTCCCCAGGAACATCGGGTGACAAGAAAGATCAACGGGGCATCCATTCGCTGACAGGCAAATGTCTTATTTGACGTGCCTACTGCAACGTGACCCCGAGGCGGTGCACACTCTGAGCCTCTCCGCTCTGTCATCGGCACCCGTGCGGCTGCCTCTATCTCTCTTTCTCGGTGTCTCGCCGCCTCCCCACCCCCCACCCCGGAGGAAGAGGAGGAGGAGGAGGAGAAGGAGGAGAAGCAGGAGGAGGAGAAGGAGGAGGAGGAGAAGGCATTGCCCACACTGAACCTCTTACTCTCTCCTCGGCGCCCATACGGTTGCCTCTGATCTCCTTTCGTCATCTCGCCGCCCCCCCCCACACACCCCTCGCGGCGCCAGCGGCAACACACCCGTGAAGCGGAGCACGTCGCCCCCAGTACCTTGCGCCGTCTGCAGTTCTACCCCCGCCGAGGGGGAAGGCGTGCGACATCAGAGGGCATAAAGGATTGACGGCGCGTCGGGGGGGAAGCGAGAGGCGGCGGGGCTTCTCGGGACCCCATCCCGCCTTCCGAGAAGGCTCAGACAGCTTCTCAGAAGGCCCGAAGCCTTCTGGGCCACCTGAGAAGGCCCACGCCCTCGGCCTTCCCCCCCTCCGGGCTCGCCGCCGAAAGGAGCGAAGCATCCTCATCATAGGGAGCAGTCGCACCGAGCATGAGAAAGCGAGCCTGCAGTCTCCAGCTCAGTGTGACTCAGGGGTTGCTGATCATGTGCGCTCACAATAAGGCTTCATTAATTATGCCCCTGTGCTGGCATCATGCTGTGCGCGGCTTGGTTCGAGTGCAGGCACGGAAGCCCAGGCCCTCACGCGCGCAAACCAAGTAGTCCGAAGGCTGGTCATGCGACATGCGATGGCTTGCTATACACCTTGACCACACTTGGCCGCGCCAAGTTCCACCAGCATCAAGTAAGCCCAGCCAATCAAATCAGGGCACCGTTCCAGGTCAGATGGGTACGCAGTCTACGGCTATCACAAAGAAGAGGCCTGAAGCAGCGACATGGATTGCCTGGCTCTTGCTCAAGTGATGTCACGTGTTCGACCGAGGTCGCTATCGTTTGCGTGCACTGAATACGCGCGTGTCTGGTGTATCGTAAATCTCCGCCTCTATAGTAGTATCCATATCTACCTATATCACCACCTCCGTCTCGCCTAAAACTCGACCCACACTGGTACCTCAGTCTCAGTCTGTAACTCCACCGCTGCATCTGCCACAGCAGCTAAATACCTCTACCTCGGGGCACTTCTCTCTGACTCTGTCTCTACACGTGTCTATACCCCACCCTTTCTGGAAACCCTGAGCACAAAGAAGCCGACATCTCACGGGGGGGGGGGGGGGGGACAAATTACTGTGTCCGGCGGGGCAGTTTCGTCTGGCGGTCTTCTGCCGATCTGGAGGAGGAGGAGGAGAAAGAGAAAGAGGAGGAGGAGGAGGAGAAAGAGGAGGACGACGACGACGAGGAGGCAGAGGAGGAGGAGGCAGAGGAGGAGGAAGAGGAATAGGAACAAAAGGAGGAGGAGGAGGAGGAGGAGAAGGAGGAGGAGGAGGAGGTCTGCCAGCCTCCACCGAGTGCAACATGCCAGCCTCGCCCGAGCCAGCAGAGCCGAGGCCCCTGCTTGAGCCTGCCCCACGAGGGCACAAATGGCCAGGCTTTCCCCGGCCGGCGCTTCTAAGGAGGGGTTCTCCCTTGTCTCTGAGAGTACGTAATGGAGACCCTCCCTGCTCGCTCCTCCCTCCTCACCCCTCTCCCTCGCCTTACTCCTGCTGCGCCTCCGATTCCTCCTCCGTCTTCCCCCTCTTGGGATACGACGGACGTCTTACCCAGCCCACTATTCCACCGCATGCTCATCCACATCCCTGATCAGGGCCACTCGTCTGGGCATCGCTTCTGGATGGGCTGGTGGGCTTGCACGACACGTCTAAGTCTCTC